CCCCCTAATAATTTAAAAATAGCCAGACCAAAGCATTATATTATACTAATGAGTATGAGTAATTTCTTTTTAAAGCCGTAACTCTGGTTCATACCCATCCAGCCATTTTATTTAAATACTACGTTGTAACATCTCTGACCTTCGCCACTAATTTGACCTGATTGTGTTGCAAGTGTCTTAAACTTCTTACTAAAACTTAAAAGGCTAGATCTTCATCAAATGTCATAAAATTGTATGGCAGAATAAGTTAAGCCAAATCCTTAATGACTTCACACTCTCTTGCGAGCACGAGTTCTGTCTGTGTGACGCACCTTCGGCTGTGCCCCACTCCACCAGCCGGAGAATGCCCAAGGACACAAAGTTGCCAGTCCCAGAAAAGTAAAAGATACCAGTGAGGATCCCTTGCATGGATTTGGGCGCCTGAGTATAGCCCATCTCCAGAACTGTGGATACAAGGACATATGAAGCATGGACCAAATAAGAACAGCCTCGCCATTAATAACAGATAATAGTCAACACAGCTTGATTTTACGATCTGGATTCTGGATGTTTATTAAGAGTGAACTATACTGAAATTTAAGATGCTGGCCAAGAATTTTTTCCTCTCCTTTCGCGGACCTGACGAGGGAAGCAAGTCCTCAGGTTTTTAAACGGCCGATAGAGTGTTGACTAGGGGCTTTAACAGATTAAAGCTATGGTTAAAAAAATACAGCCTCTCAATCTATTTGCACACATTTTCAGTGCAGAAAAAACTGCGAAACTTTCCTGAGTGTCGAGTCAAAATGTTTTATTTATACACCCCCCAAAAAAACCCAACCCCAACCAAACAAACACCCCAACCATAAACAAAACCAAAACAGCCCAAAATAACAACAAAACTAAAACAACAAACAAACAAACAAACAAACAAACAAACAAACAAACAAAAACCCAACTCACCCCCTCCCTTTGAAAACACAAAAATAAATAAAAAATCAACAAGCTGACAAAAACCCCAAAACAATTGGGATTTGGTTTTGAAAGAGAAAGTACTGACTGAGCCTGTCGCACTCGAACCGGAAGTTCAAATCATCGTTAAAAAAGAATAAGGCTTGTGAACACCTGCGCTCAGGTAAAGTCATTCGGTATTCAATATTGACACGTCACCTCTGACGTCATGTCTCCCCTGTTCATTCTTGTTGTTAACTCTCACTACTAGATCACAAACTGTACTTTGGAAATATAATTTCTATAACTAAACTCTCGATATTTCAAGAGGGTGGGTAACTTGAGAGTAAACAATGAGAACATAGGCAAGAATTGTACAATGGACGTTTTCGTGATTTTCTCATCTCTACTAGTATGACGTGAGCATTGCAGAACGATAAACTCACGCAACAATAAAAACGAACGAATGGATTGACTTTGACTGTCTATTGCACATGGGATGAACGACTTGGAGGTCATCATCTGGTGTAATCTGGTATAGCTAGACGATATAAGTTGTTTTTCATATCGATTCTCGATACCTAGAACCCTATGAGTCACCAATAGTTATGCGCAGCATAAAGTTAAAATTGTACTTTTCACCCCGGCTTATTCCAAACATGAGATTTCTACATACAAACATAATTATATTACATTATTATACATTGTATATTTATTTTATTATACCCTCGCCCTGGAGCTCCTGTAGCAGAACAAAGACGAAAATAAAGACAAGGACAGCAACAAAAAAGATGTTAGGATACCTCATCGATGTATTCACGCAAAGGAGTAGGAAATACATAATTTTTTTCACTGCCTACAAATCATAAAGAGCTAACACAAGAAGAAATCTTATGGATAATTTGTTTTATAACCTTACCAGTGCAGTCCCAAACCTGCTGAGAGTCTATTTTCATTCACCTTTCTAACTTAATCTTTATGCAGCAAATCCCCCCCCCCCCCCGGGAAAAAACATCGGGTATCCAGTATCCACACCATGGAAAATACCATAAAGACGAGGTAATCGCATAGCATAGTTGGTATTCCCTGGTCCTCTGGTACTGCTCAAATGGACAGAACTTCACAATTTCATTGTCAAATTAGCCAAATTAATTATTCACCCCCTCCCTCCCACAAAGGCCAAGAAGTCCTTGTCAAACAAAAAAGGTGTAGGCGATAAAAGGACAACTTTTTAAATAATAATAATAATTGCATTTATTTAGCGCATATCCATGCTCAAGAGCATGCTCTATGCGCTTTACAACTATTATTATTATCCCAGCAGACCCCCTGAGAATACTCAGAAACATTCTCGGATTCAGCGGAATATTTGTTTAACAGTACCATCCACCCAATTTGGTCATGTATAGGTGCAGATATTCAACGCATTCAATTCACTTGGTTACGACTAAAAAGGCAACTTACTGGCGGTCCCGAGAAAGACTTCTCCGACTCCAATGAGCAGAAACTGTGGAGTCTGCACAAAGACGCTCATGGAGGACGCTGTGAAGTTCTGATTGGCCAGAACCTGCACATGTGAACCGCCCGGCGCGCGCATGTACTCCTTCCGGTAGATTTCCACCACAGCAGCCACCAGCACAGAGGCAGTGGCCAACAGTAACCCCAGGCCTGTAGTGTGCGAGAGGGAGAGAGAGAATGTTAGTCTGAGTTTTAGCTTCGAGAGGAGAAGGTGGGGGAGGAGGATGGGGAGATCGGAGTAGGAGGAACAGGAGTAGGAGGAAGAAGGGAGGAGGGGGAGGAGGTGGAGAAGGGTAAGGACAAGGACAAGGCCAAGGACAATCTTTATTCATCTCACAGGGAGAAACTTGTCTTGTTCGTTTATAATGGCAGTGGAATGTAACAATGGATAGGTGCACTCACGCATACACAGAAGAAAGGACATTAGTAAATACATGTTTTACGGGTTGAAACAACCCACTCCGTAAACCCCCCCCCCCCCCACAAACCCCCCCCTTTCCAAACACACACTCTCTCTCTCTCTCTCTCTCTCTCTCTCTCTCTCTCTCTTTTTCTGTCTCTCTCTCTCTCTCTCTCTTTCATTTGTCGCACTGTGTGTTCAGTAAACTCACTGCAGTTGGTACTAGTGAATTTCTATATCTGTCCGTTCATGTTCTTTTTTTCGGAAATATATAGTTTTTTGCCGGCCGATAATTGGAATTCCGATGTCAGTGGGTGGTTATGGCCACTTAGCATTATTTCCGCTGTTTATTTCTCTAGAACTTTCGTTTTGTGCAGATATCCAAAGTCATTAGGTCTCTAACAATCGTTCTTGATACCTTTCTGATAAACTAGTTTATTTCTATAATGTGCTGTCTTCCCAAGTTACTTCCACAACAAGAAACATCACAATTTATCAAAGTTTCTTTGTGTTGGTGTAGATTATCTGAAGGATGGAAAGATTGAGATTGAAGGACCAAAGTTTCCTCGGAAAATACAACCTTTGATTTACTTTTTTAATGATATTGTTCACGTGTTTTTCCCATGTAACTTTGTTTTCGTTTGTAAGACCAAGATATTTGTATGAGTTCGTGATTTCAGTTATTTCTTGTTCAATTATGAGTGGTCGGATTGTTGGTTTTCTATTAAAAAAAAAATTTCCTTTGTTTTTGAGAGGTTCAATTTTAGAGGAGGAGGAGGAACACGAGGAGTGGAAAATATACGATCCACCATCAGTTAGGTTATGGAAATGTTGGAGTTTTCGTTTTCGTTTGTTTTGTTTTTACTCTGAAAGTATCCATTTATCTTTTCTGTGTCTTTGTGGGTTTTTTCTTTTTTCTTTGAGTGAAGAGAGCTACATCGACACAATACTGACCACTTAATACTGGGAAAAAGTAAGATGCACAGACAGAAACAGCAGAGGGAAAGTAAAGAAGTAGGACCTACCAGAGGCGCCCTCCAACTACCCGCTCTTTTCGTGTCTACGAAAAGAGGCATGGAATGGTGTTGTGAGGGTGCGTGGTTGGGGTCAGAGTGAAACGTTCGTGTCATGGCCTAGGAATCTGATTAAGCGATGGTGCAACTGTCAAAACTTTGTTGACAGTGACTGAGTACAAAAGAGCTACATCCCCAGGAACAAGACTGGGGCGATTGTAACACTGAACAGAAGCAAAAGGAGCCCATCACACCCGAGCATCTCCGATCTATCAACTACCTGTTAGTGGTTTGTGTTAACTATTATGATTATTAGCTCTATTATTTGAGAGACCCTCCAGCTTCAACCTGTTTGAAAGATCAACGGATTAAGGTATTAAACATTAATTCTCAAAGAATCTTACAAAAGGTAAGTTAATAAGGAGAGAATGGGAAAGAGAGATGAACGACTAAAAACCAAGAAATAGGACGTGCCGTAACCCCCCACCCCCCCACCGTGCACCCACTTCCTCCTTGAAAAAAGAAAAAAGAATAATACAAAAACAAACAAGTTTTTAGAAAACAAATCTAAAAATTGATGAACGCATATATAAAAAACGAGAGCAATAATATCTTCATCTTAGCCCTTACCCCCCTAACCGACCTAAAATAAATTAAAAAGTGCAACAAAAAAAAATACCCACAAACAAACAACAATAACAACAAGAACAAAAACAACAAGTAACAAACCAGCCAAAGAAATGTCCACAGACAAAACAAGCATCTAAAAAGAATGAAGCTAAGAAACAAAAGAAATCAGAAACACTGAACAGGTAACTACAGATTATACTATAAGTACATGTATAAGCACACGAAGGCGTTCTCACCGACTCTCCTTAGCGGCTTCAGTGGGAAACCGATTCTGTTCATAAACGGGTAGACAATCCGGTCAAGTACCGGTACCATGATGACCATCACGAAGTTGTTGAAAGAGCCTAAGATGGCAGCGGGGATGAGCACACCGCCAACTCTGACGTCCATCCGCTCGGCTTGCACAAAGTACGAGGTTTGCATCTGAGAATGATATCAAAGAAGTTCAGATCACTGAGCAATTCTATCCAGCTTTTTTCAGAACTAACGCATTTGTTTAAGCAAGGAGAAATGCATCGACTCAGTAACAGTCACTGAATGAAGGTAAAAAGATAAACAAAAAGACAAGTACAAGAGGAACAGAAAAGGCGGACAACCAGAGGCGCCCTAAAACCTCCCACAGACTGTCGTGTGTTTTTGGCGCAAAATTCGTCACGCGCAATCTAAAAAGTATGAACCAGTGATTGTTGTTAATGGCTAAAATTGCTTACCATGATAGCTTTTATTGTATTTCTACCATTATGCCTGCTACCTCATAAGACTCCTCTGTGGCTCTAGTCTATTTCAGGTGTTTTTTTTTCCTCCAGTACTAGACAGTAGAGGGTGCGGTTCGGAGCGGTTAGTGCGCTCGTCTCCGAAGCGGAAAGTCCGGGTTCGAGCCTCGGTTCGGACACGGATTTTTTTCACCCCCTTCTGCCCACCCAGCAGTAATGGATACCTGACTTCGAGCTGGGGAAGTAAAGGCGGCGTGGAAAGGAACTGGCCACCCTACCACAAAATGCCGAAGGCCCAGGGAGTTGTCTCACTAACAAGGCAATCCCCAATGTCCGGATCGGATGCAGGAACAACCTTACTTACTTACAAGACAGTAATATAGTGGAGAGGATATTCGCTGGGAAATAATAAAACCAACAACAAAATCATCACTATGAAACAACTAAAATGCAGCAATCACAGTGGGCCGCAAACTATACGAGGGTTCACGAATAAGATATTATGCTGTAATCAAGAGAGAAGCCCGCAAGCTGCGCACACCCACAAGTAGAACTGGAGCTTTTAAATGTTCAAAAGGTGGCAAACTTTCCCCTGCCAGAATTGGTCTCATTGGCCACAGCAGAAACCACAAGTCACCTAAAACCTTAAATTCTTCAAAAATCCTCTATTTCGCTCCAGAAATATAATTCCCCTCAGCGGATGTATCGGTCATCATCAGACTTGACGGACGAGATATTATTACGTCGGAAAGAATAACATTATTATATCTTTTCTTTGCTTAAAAAAAAAAAACACTGTTCGTGTCCGTATTTCTATTTAAGAAATTGATTTGTAAATGCTATTGTTATTGATCATTACGTATTCACTGTACACGTAATTCCAGATCCCTTTTTAGATTTTTGTACAATCGAAGAAATTTCAGTAAAGAGCAGTTAAACTATACACTACAAGGTTGTCTGTGTACTGTGTATTATCATACCTGTGAGTATATAGCCCAAAACATGATAATCAAGGCACAGATAGGAATCATTTTGAGAACGCTCCAAACACCGTCCACGGTGACGTTATCATGGCTACCGCCGTGACTCATTCTGGCTCCGTCCAGGTGGCCGGGCGGCTCAGATTCTTGGCTGCTGTTTTCCCAGTGGTTACCTCTGTTCTGAAGAACACAAATGGATTAAGAGCAGCGGTTTCTTACATCATATAACACTTCGAAACGAAGGCCGTGCAATTGGTAGCTAAAGCTATGGATTTATTATTATGCTTCTTTCTCCACGCTATGGAGAAGGAGAAGGATATGCCTAACAGACTTTCTGGGCGTCAGGTGATTGGTAAAATCTTCAACTTGACAAGACTAATTTTCTGGAATAACTGGACATTCATAACGTGGAGTACAAGGAGGAGGATGCGGAGGAGGAGCAGGATGCAGAGGAGGAGGAGGAG